TTCACTAGCTGATCACACCTCCAATAGCCAGCCCTATCCTGGATGCTCGCACACACAGGCCAACAGTTCGCTGAGCCCACTTCCCCTCACATTGGTCCTCAAGGGTCCTCTTCCATGGCCTCAAGAGGCCCCAAAAGCAGCCACCCCCTCTGGCTCTCATTTCCCCAATCCCTTTTGGTTGTATTTCTAAGTGGAATGGCTGACAGGCATTAACATAATAATGCTTCACTGGAGTGTATATCAAGGAAAGAAGAAGCTAATGTTTTCAAAGACTAAAACCAGACACTTGACCTAAGGCCATGGACTGTAAAACCCTTAAAATGATCCAGACCTCTCCTCCATAAGACCTATAAAATTCACCATCTAACTGTAATGGCCCTAATTACATCTGCATTTCTTCAAAAACTACCGTTCAAAATAAAAACGGCCAAATCAATTCTATTTCCTGCCAATGTAACCGCCTCCTTGGCATTTAGTAGTTTTGTTTCCGCCTATGTTTTCATTGGAAACATGAGGTTTGTCGGCTCTGCTAAGGCATGCTGAGAAGTCAGCAAAGAGCACCTGCCACCCCACGACTCGAGGGCTGTTGGCTGGTGATGCCAGCTCACCATCATCATGGATTGCTAAACTTCGAGGTGAGAACATCTTATTTCCTTTCAATCAGTCACAAAAGAAACAAGTGCAGCTATAATGGTACCTACAAAAAGGGGGGGGGGTGAGGGAGACGGCTCAGACGGTAAAGTGCTTGCTATCTATGCAAGCATGAGACCTGGGTTCAGATCCCCAGCATCCACGTAAAAACCCGGGGGTATGGGGGGCATGGCAGCAGGCGCCTGCAATCCTAGTCCTGGGAAGGTGGATAGTGGAGATTCCCTCAGGCAGCCATTCTAGCGCCATCAGTGAGCTCCAGCCTCATCGAGGCACCCTGTCTCTAAGAGGAAGGTGCAAGACTAGAAGATGCCTGGATCGGACCTCTGACCTTCATACTCAGTCACCACACATGCAGGCACACCTGAATGCATAGGTGCACACAAACGTTGTGCATACAACACACGCAAATGCATACACACACAGGACATGTGATTTGAAGTCCAAGAAATACAAACATTTCTGTGTCATTTAGCACATTTTCTTCCTGACTTGGAATAGATGTAGACAAACTTTACTTAATGTAGCTTCCTCCAACCTTTTGATCCAAAGGGATGTTATGCATCTCGAAGCTTTCGTGTGCATCCTGAGCTTATCCATGACTTTAGTAACCGTCTACCCAGCTCATTCTGGGTTAATGTTTTAATGCATCTTCTGCTACTGGCTTTGACTTGGATTCCTTTCACCGATAGAGTTCTGAGCAGAGCAGGGGTCTATGTTAATTCCTGGGCTTCACTGTCTCTTTCAATGTGGATGAAGTTGACATTCTGTTGTTCTGTGGCTTGGCAAGGACTGAGGAGGGGTTTTGAAGTAAATCTCTGCATGTCGGTATTGTGAATCCCCTTGAATGTTTTTTCCTCTCGGAGATTTTCTGGCCAGCATGGGTCTAACTGCAGCCTGCTTTCCCTCTAGACAGAGAAATCCGTTGACTCTTTCCATCCATCCTCATGCATCTGGTCAGCCTGATAACTATGGAAGCTGCCTGAATGAGCACGTGTGCCTGCTCCTCTTCTACTGTGTCAGAGACTTCTCACTCTTATCAGAACTCTCCTCCCCCAGAACATTTTAGAAAGCATTTCAACAAAAGGCATTATAGCTTTGGTTTTGTTTGTAAAGCATAAAATATATTGAAATGAGCCTGGAGGAAAACATGCACATAATGGGTGGGTGGGTGAGATGGTTCCTCAGGTCCAGGCATGTAACATTAAAAGAATGTGGTGGAAGGAGAGAACTGACCCCCAAAAGTTGTCCTCTGACCTCCCCCAACCCCAACACACACACACACACACACACACACACACACACACACACACACACACACACACACACACGCATCATTCTAAAATAAATTTTTAAAGACATACAGTGGGTAATGCATGTCTGGCTTCTGAGGTGGGGCTTTGGCGGAAGTCTCCAGTTTATACTCCTGCAGAGTCGCCTGCCCAGCCCCATAATTCACATTCTCTTCCTCCAGCCTTGACAGCAGAACCCTTGATGACACACCCACCAAGGAGACCTGTCCAAACAGTCTTTGCCACAGGACCCAGCGCAGGGCCCTGCCACGACGCCACAGCCCACCAGCCAGGTAGCAAGGCCACATGCAGTTTCCAGTCGCTCCCACCAGGCTAAGGTCAGAGGTCCAGGTAATTTCTTAGAAACGATGGTCAGGGCAGAGGTGGGAGGTGAGCTTGCTGTGAGGCCTCCCTCAGAGAGGGATGGCTCCCACCACACGCCTTGCTCTGACCAATGCGGGAGAAGCCTGCATTCGAACTCCAGGATGTAAAGGAAAAGGGCAAACAAGGAAAACACAGCCAATGGGACCTTCCCCATGAAGTGCTTTGCTCATGTAGCCTGGGTGCTCATGTGTTGGAGAATCCCCATGTCTTTGGGGGAGCCCTTTTTGATGACAGCATACTCACACCTGCTTGCCAGGCAGGGCATCCCCCTCTTATCCTGCACTTGCTCTTTCCATCCAGTTCAATGTCTGACTGTAACCTCTACTTGGTTGTACATCGGTGCCATGTGACACACTGCAGAAGCGGCCAATGGCCGGACTGACTTGCCTTTATTTCTCACTCCCCTGTGGTTCTGCAGCAGTGTTGTGGGGTCTCCCATATGTTTGGTACATGTTGTATGTTTAGAAATATCATTTAATGTTTGAGGGTGATAGCTCAGCTGATAGAGAGCTTGCCTAGTACACATGAGGTCATGGGTTCCACCCCTAGCACCCCATAACCAAGACAGGGTGACACACACATATAGTCCCAGTACTTGGGAGGTGAAATCTAGAAGGTCAAGAGTTCAGAGGTCATTCTTGTTTTCACAGGGAGTTCAAGCCCAACCTAGGATATGTAAGACTCTGTTTCGAAACAAATTTCATTTTGAAGTGTTAAGCTTTAAGGTAACCAAGCATTGGTTTAGGCGGCTGTTGATGGCTGGATATTACACAGGTCAAAATGAGGCTTGTCTGCCCTCTCTTGCTGACATCTGACATATCTATGACCATGTCATTAATGCCAAGTTTTGTAGTTCCTGTGGGATTTTGGATTTCAAGCATGCACATGACTGTTGGTGTAAAATTTTACAAGCAACGACACATTAAAGGACTCACATACTCTATACTCAATTCAATGCTGTGTATGGGCCCTGAAGCATCTGCTTGGCAAATGTTGTCGCCTAGCTGGGCAATCGTATATGGTGACATCATAACATGTCACAGATTGTTTGCATTTTTAGCATGAGTTGTTGGCATTTGAGGATAATGCATGGTTAAAGAGGAAGAAAGACTGTAAGATACCCTGAGGGTACAGCTTTGAGACAGCACGCTCTTCTTTCCCTCTGTCCAGACTGTCAATCGATTTATGTAAAGAGTATCCCAAAACCTCAGGATGACCTCATCAAAGAATTGTTATCAACTGCAAGACCTTACTTGGGATGTTCAGCATGCTCGTGAAACAGAGCAGCTAAAACAACCACTAAATAAACTCAATGTGAGGAAGATGTGAAAGAATCATCCAGAAATCCTGACTCCAAATGTTGGTGTTCACTGATCTGACAATGTGTAAATGTTACAAATTTGTACCTAGGAAGTTCATTTTTATCAATAAAACCTGTTGTCTATTTTATATATTGAGATCTCACATAGGATTTTGAAGAAATAAATTTTAAATTCTTATTTATTGGTGTATCGGGGTGTGTGTGTGTGTGTGTGTGTGTGTGTGTGTGTGTGTGTGTGTGTGTGTGTTATGTAGAGCTTAGAGCACAGTTTTCAGGTGTTACTTCTCTGTTTCCACCTTGCATTCCAGTGACTAACCTTAGGACATCAGGTTTGCAAGACAAATGCTTTTACCTGCTGAGCCAGCTCACTGACCCTGATTAAATAATTTTAAAAATCCCATCAGTTTATTTTATTCTATTAAGATAGGGTCTCATTTAGACCAGGCTGGCCTTATCTATACAGTCATTTTCTGATCCTCCTGCCTCTATTTCCTGAGTACTGGAATTATAGCCATGTGCAACCAAAGCCCAGTTGATTTGGTACTTAGAATCCAAGAATCCGCCAATTGAGCCACAGCTCCAGTCCCCTATCAGTGTTTTGTTTTGTTTCAAGTTTGAAAACAATTCCAATAACATGGATAACATTTCCAGTGCTTGGAGCTCTTATTCTGAGTCCGCAGATAATGCAAGTCCATGTCCATAACTTAGTACCTCTGAGAACTTATTTTCTGATCTACAAAATAAAAAGGCAGTACTTACTCAGTTTACCGATATACTCATACTTAATATAAGAAGCAGGTTTTAAAATTAAAGTGGAAATCCCATGCAAGTTTTGAGCAGAACTGACCAGGGTCGTAATGATACCAGATAGGTTAAGTCAAACTCTGTGGGGCTGTAGCCAGAGTTACCTGTGGTCATAGGGGATCACAATACTTTTCCAGTTCCTTGGATGATTCTATTACATAAGATATGATACGTATTTACTGATATCCAATTATTTATCTAAAAGTGAATTTTGTTTTGAGTCCTAGAGTTTCCCAGAAGACAGCAGAGCTCAAGCCACCTGGACTTTGTTCTACAGCGTTGTAGCTCCTGGCCTGGAAGGACCTTCTGAAATGTAGACAACTGCACACCTGAACTGCTGTATCAAATACTAGTGAGACGCACAACCTGAAGACCAATTACTTAAGAACCCATAGAGTAAAACAGAAACACCAAGCTCCGTTTTGGGCCAAGGGGATATGCTTATTTAGTACAGTATAGTGTGAACCCAGAGTCTGGCAATGCTAGGCAGGGGCACAGCACAGAGCCACACCCTAAGTGTTGTTTTTTTGCTTAAGAGGTTTTCTGCTCACCTGAGACAGCTTGTGAAATGGGAAACCATGATGCTGCAGGTCCAGGCTAAGGCAAGGGTTCCTCAGAGGTGTCCCCAGTTTTCTGCAGGTTCAACTCCTATAGAAATGAACATGGTTATTTTTTAGCGTCACTTGCCTGGAAAAGTTCTAGAGCCCAATCACAGAAAGAAACTGGGATTAAACAAACGTGAAAGGGCCGACAAGATGGCTCAGCTGGTAGAGACGCCTGCCACCAAACCTGCCAATCTGACCTGGATCCCACCCGGTAGAAGGAGAAAACTAATTCACACAAGTTGTCTTCTGATAGCACCATGTAAGCCTCAGCAAACACCACACACACACACACACACACACACACACACACACACACACACACAAAGTAAAACAAATAAATAAAATGTACTAATAAAATACACACAAAAATTAAAACAAATAAATGAAATGTACTAAAAAAAAAAAAAACATACACAATAGAAGCTACTAAAAGAAAAATGCCACTTCCCAGTCATGGTGACCAGGATTTCCCAGCTCGAAGGTGATACTGAAGGAACACAAGGGAACAGCCTTCCAGGACACTCAGTACAGTCCCTGACGGTGACAGCTAATCTTCATTGGCAAGTTGAGGGTCTCTGGAATCTTCTACAAGACACACCTCTGCCTGTATCTATGGAAGCATTTCCAGAGAGGTTTAGCTGAGCAAGAGCCATCCTGAATGTGGGCGGCACCCCCTAGGAGCTGGGAACCCCAGACTAAATGCAAAAGGAAACAGAGAAACCCAAATGAACGTCAGCACTCATCCTTCTCTGGGTTGGCCGTGAGCACCACGCAGCCAAGCATGCTGTGCCCTCACGGTCACGCCTTCCCTATCACCATGGACCATATCCTCTCAAACCATGACAACAGACTACTCTCCCCTGAAGTTGATTCTATATTTGGTCACAGAAACAAGACAAGTAACCAATGCGCCAACCCACAGAAGATGTTCAATAGATCACTTTCAGTACGATGCCCTCAGGCTCCCGGGTGATGAGGGGCTGGCATTCGGCAAACTGTTCTAAAAATCCAACGGCTTCTGACTGGCTATCTGACCCGAGAAAGCCATTTTGGCAAGTCAGAATTTTGATTTCCTGACCGTATAGTATCATATAGTAAAAGTACTGCCTAACAAAAGCTGGGAGTACTGACATCAGCAGAACACTCTAGATGGAAGAAGCCAGACACAAAAGAACACACATTATATGACTCCATTTACAGGTAGTATTCAGAATAGGAAAACGCAGAGATGGGAAGTAGATGAGGAGCTGCCAGGAGCTGGGGGAGGACAGGAGGAAGGAGGTAATGGGGAAGTGCACCATTTGTTCCTGGGGTGACAAAAATGTACGAAAATTAGTAGTGATTACACAACACTGTGAATAGACTAAAATCCATTACAGTATTGATGAACTATGAGTTATTTCTCAATAAAACTGCTTATAAATGCTGCCTAGGACTGAGGATACAGCTCGGAGCTAGAGTTCTAGTTCAGCATGGATAGGGCCCTGGGTTCAACTACTAGCACAGAAACAGAAACCCTGCGTGAAATATCACTGGTGGGGCCTGCAGACGTGGGTCATCTGGTAGAAAACTTGCCTAGCATGCACAAAGCCCTGGGTTCCACACCATCACCATGAAAAACAGGGCTAGCATGCCTAGAATCCTACCACAGGTGGTCACGCAGAATAAATGAGGAGGCACATGAAGCGTGTGTGGCCAGAGGCTGGCGCATCGGGACACTGACTAACGGGTAGCTCCAGTGAGACTTATGCCCAAAGAACAAAGTGGCACTTAGAGTATGTCACCACCTTAAAAGCAGGTAAAGAGAATGCCTCATCTACAAAGACCACTTTATTCTGGTGTCCTTACCAGACAGAATTTCTAAATACTGGCAAGTAAGCCAGAAGTCTGGAAGCAAAGTATAAATAGCATCAGAAAGGCCAGGACGGGAGGTTTGGATGGAATGTAATAAACCTCTGGAGAAGAGGATGGCCTACCCCTGCACCTCCCGCTGCTCATTTCAGGAAAGACGGATGGAGCAAGAATACAGGGGGAGAGGGGCAGACATGGACGGATGACACCCTCTCACAGAAAGACAGTTTTCAAAGGCCGTTTCTCTCCACATCCTTCCCAGGACTTCAGGGGTGGGGAGAAAAATAATTATAAGAATTTACACCAAAAAAAAAAGAAAGAAAGAAAAAAAGGGGGGGAAAGGACAATACAATGATGAAAATTGGACAAGCCTATTCGGGGGGGGGGGGGGGATATCCAGATTTTAAGTTCCCACCACCCTTTCTGGAGCTGTTAAGAAAGGAAAGCCTCTTAGCTGTAATCACTCCTAATTGCCCATCAGCAGCCCATGAAATTACTCATGGTATTGAAGACCCTTCCAGTCTTGACTGCCCGCCAGAAGTTACAGTGTGATCTACCAGGAACAAGGCCAGCAAACCAGATCTGTTAAAGAGCCCTGGACATCCAGGCACAGTCTTCCGCCTGTTGGCTACAGGGCAGGTGTGCATCAAGACAAGGCACCGAACTTGGAAGGCAGGGCAAGTTTTGCCAAGCTTCTAATAACCCCTGGCTAATAAATACTCAACAAAAGATGTGCTTGGGTCCTCTCCATAGCACTAAGGCAGGAAATGGGGAACATATCAAGATTAGTGTATAAGGGCAAAGACCGAAAACCTTCCACCAATATATAATAGATAATAGATATGAGAGAGAGCATGCAGGAGAGTGAGGTGCTAATGAAGGACCCTAAGGAGGACTCCAGTGGCCTAGGGCCATTGAACTTGTACCTTTTTCACCATCCCCACTTTGGACACTGCTGGGGATTGAAACAAGACTCTCATAAATCTCAGACAAGCACTATACCAACTGAGCTGTCTCCCGAGTGCCCAGAAAACATAAAATTATCCACAGCCTTCCAACAGCCCCTGCTGATGCCCCATCCTGATCTCCCTCTGTGTGTATTACGCCTTTGGGTCTTTATCTACCCGAAGAAAGGCATCCACCTGCTTGCATGCCATTTAAAACATGGCTCCTTTCATTTGTGCCTTGCCCCTTTAAAGTTTACCTTTGGAGTATATTTTTATGTGGTCATAGAATACATTGACAGATAAAAATAAACAAGTAGCCGGCGGTGGTGGCGCACGCCTTTAATCCCAGCACTCGGGAGGCAGAGGCAGGCGGATCTCTGTGAGTTCGAGGCCAGCCTGGACTACCAAGTAAGTCCCAGGAAAGGCGTAAAGCTACACAGAAAAACCCTGTCTTGAAAAACCAAAATAAATAAATAAATAAAATAAACAAGTAGCCGAAAACACTGGAGTTGGATGCACAATTATGTTTTGACTGATGTAAAATAAAAAAAGAACTACACAATTAAAAAAGATGGAAGACACTAGTATATCTTTTGACTAACTTTTGTCAGGTGTTCTGGTTTGGATTTTGGGTTTTGAGACAGTCTTACTCTGATAATGCAGGCTGACCTTGAACTTCTGGTCCTCCTCCCGCCTCAGACTTCAAAGTTCTGGAATCTGCTGTGCCTAGCAGCTTCTCAGAGTTGACTGGTCATCCTTACATACGGGTTGAGAAGCTTCCTCTGGGAGACCTGCCTGCTCTCTCATTTCCTCGGGGTTCACATTGGCTTCCACTAGGTGTCGTCTATTCAACCAGCTCTGAGTCCCACCACCCACACGAACATCGTGAAACTAATTTTGTGGGTCTTAACCAGCATTTATTAAAAGGTGAAATGAATGAAGGTGAGGAGAAATAGCAGCATTTATCACACATAGGGAGGGTACGCCTCACTGGGGTTTACAGTCAAGCAAGTTCAAAGTCCTCTCAGAAAGGCCAGGCACAGTAAAGGATCAGAACTAAGATTGTGTGGAGTAAAAAACTGAGAAGCCCAGTAAAGCCTGTTCTCTAAGACCCTGTAAAGCAGCGCCAGGCCGATTTTGATGAGATGCCCAAGAAAGAACCATTGTTAGCTCTCGGGGGAGGGGAGCCTGGTAAAATGAGGTTCCTCGAAGATACTTTTGGCAACAGTGGGCTGAGCCATTGAGTAAACAAGGGCTCCATTGGGACTGAGCCTCCTCCTGAGGTTTGCTCATGATTTACAACTTTGACATTGGACACAATGGCTAACAATGCAGTTTCTGTAAGAGTGGACGCTCCCTAGGGCTTGGAGAGCTCACCTTCTCCCAGATCCAGTAAGACTCTGGGGAAGCTGAACAAGTCTTCTGATTTGTTTCGGTCACAGTCCCCACACCCCACACCCTGGGAGGCCACAGGGCTTGAGACCAAAAAAAAAAAAAAAAAAAAAAAAAAAGCAGCATGGTAGATCCAATCCAGGGCAGAATATAATTCACGCAATCCTTAAAGATGCCGAAGTGCCCTGATCTATGACACAACCACACTGTCCCCTACTCTGAGTATTTTTTCTGCCCTTTGTCCTCATGGTATGAACAAAGCTCCTACCTGACTCATCTGGTTCTGAAGAGGTAGGTCTGCTCGGTCAGTCCCCCAAGTCAACACCAGAAGGGCCCGACTCCAGGTCCGCGTTCTCCCCGTCAGCCCTCCCTCCCACACACATGCCTGGAACTCATACAATGTAAAGCAACCACCCTGACAAACAAACTCACTAGTCCCTGGGTACAGGAAGTGACTCACAAGCAAAGCAGTGGGGTCAAGGCTTTTAAAAGGAACCTGGCTAGGTCCCAGTCACCCGCGCCCCCATCGTTAGGGAGGCTGAAGAAGGCTGGCAAACATCTTTTACTAGACACCTGAGAGGGTACCCAGTAAGTATGCTGTACAACCCTCAGCCAAACTGGGAAACCAACATCTGGATAAGGGACAAGGACCACGGAAGAGGACTGACAGTGGATGGAGGCTTCCAGAGTCAGGGCACTCCATGTGTTTGGAGTGGACGAACTTTGTCCTGTAGAAAGAACTAGAGAATGGCAGACAGCTGAGGACGAAGGGTCCAGAGGTCCTTGTGGCAAGCCAGGGAGTAGAAACCAAGGTCTAGGGCCAGCGAGGTGGCAGCTGGACAGGACAAAGGTG